TAATGATGGCAAGGTGAAATACAAAAATTGATGGTGATGATTATCTCTATGATTCAGTCAAATAAGAAATCAGGATTTATTTATTACATTTAAATTCATTACAAAAGAATAATAAAGATAACCAGGTACAGGTCGTGACTGACCACACCTTGTAAATACTTGTGTGCTTGATAAAAAATGAAGGCTACCAAGTTGATCATTAAAATTTCAAACTTCATTAATTCATACCCCCTAGGGCTTTATTTGTATTTTCTGACAAGGTGTCTGTGTTACTTCCTCTCTTATAGTAACAAAGTGACCAGTCCCCTTTTTAAAAGTATTTTCAAATTTTAAATTTTCTCAATCTAACATTGCTGGTAAAAAAGTTCAATTTTTTATTTCTGTGATTTTAATAGAAGAAAAATGGATGTTAACTTCCAGGTATTGCATTGTTATACATGTATATTGGTACCATAAAATGTTTGCATCGTTTGCTTAAATTATTCATTAATACAGTTTCTAATACTTTAAGATATTTTTCATTGATTGACTGAGTGACTGGTAATTTTTTTACATGTGTATGAAACATTTAAAAATATTATTTACCCTGTTAAATATACATAGAATTCTTAAGATTCTTCATTGATTTGTACAAAATCTGATTGTTCATGTGTTGTAAAAAAATGACTTTCCTTAAGTTTATAGTAAATGTAATCTTATTAAAAAAGATACTTCAACATTGCAAATTATTAAATAATTGAATTATATTTTATTCAAGTTATGCTTCTTTTCTTTAAGCATAATTTCAAGTTTACAGCAACAATTTGTCAATAAGTTCTGTGCTGTTCTGTTCTGCGATCATATTTAATGCTCCAAAATTGCATTTAAGCTGTTCAAATATTATTCTTGGCAGGCTGTGAAATTTCATACAAAAATAATTATTTCCATTGAACAACATTGCTTTCATTGTGTTAAATGTAAGGCATTAATTTCTAAATAAAAGCACAGAGAACCTTAATTGTTACATCCTTTCTTTTTCACACTACACCATCACATGGTGTCCCTTTCACACATGTGTTCCTGATATTTACACCCCATGTTTACACACTCAATGGTCAGTTACACTTGTGTCATTAATTATAATTGAATGGGTTTCCTTGCTGGCATACATTTATAATTTTACACCAATATGAATGGTATTATCTCAAAGACAAATGTTACCAAAGTAGGCAAGTTTTAAGATTTTGCTCTTCAGTTAAGGAATACAATTCATACTGTAATAATGTGGTTGTTTAGTTGTGCTTCTCTCCCTGTAAAGGTAAATAATATAATTTTCAACATGTTGGCTAAAGTATGTCAGGAGATAGGGTTTTGTCTGATAAAATTGATGTATTGTAAAAGAAATGAATAAAATAGGAAAAGAAAAAAACATGCCACTCATGGTCCATGATGGAAAATAAAACAACATGAAAGAAAACACAACTGGTATCTTACTGATATTTAACAAGAATGAAGTTTTTGGTATTTCAAAAGTTGTGAAAAGGATTTGACAAAAAGCTGCTATACACATAGGAAAATAATTGGCTAGAAACTTATTGTCATGCAAAGAGTTTGCAAATTGAATTATGTTTTTTTTTATTCAGATACAAAATGAGAATATTTTTATCAGAAGCTTATTTGATTATACTGAGTTTTTTAAATATAAAAAGTAAATTATTTTTTATTCAGGAAAAACTAAACCAGAGCACAATGAAGACGCTGGGAAACAACGAGACTGTGCGGTCCAAGAATGAGTTCAGTAAAAATACGTTACGACGGACGCTTCGACGGAGAGTTAGCATGACAGTGATGAGACAGAAAATGAAGAAATTACAAGATTACTCGCTTCCATGTCAGACTGATAACTTCCGGTTCCTGCGTGCTATAAATGATTACTGCAACAGTCCAGTGCTAAGTCTACGTAAAGGACTGTCAAAGAAGGTACGGTTGCATGCAAATAAAATTTGAATTTCAAAAAGATTATTGTAACAAAAGCTATATTGTAAACAAAAATGTTTCCATGATTGTGTTTTTGAGGAAACTTCCCAGTGTTAAAAACACAGTACATTCAGAGTATTCATTAAGATGTGACTTGAGGTCAAAATAACTGTTTCAAAGCTTAGAAAAAACTCTTAGTTGTATGTGGATGGTTTCATATTCAAAATGGACCGTGTCAGAAAATGTTGACAACCCTGACATTTAATTATTAAGAGTCACCCCTTTGAAAACTTATATAAAAATAAGGTGATATGCTTTTTGTTTCCATCCATGCTAATATTTATTTGTCTTTACAATGTTAAATAAAATACTGTATTTTACCATTGGAAGTTAGATGTTCAGTTATGTGCAAAGTTGTCCATTAACTTTACAGATATTATTGCTAAATGCTGCAATTTGATGACATTTACTTATCTGTTAAATACATAATGTGACATTTACTTGATTACCTTGTATCGATGTTACCATTGTTTAATATCTAATTATATCATCTTGATGGCCACTTAGGTAATAAATAGCTCTTGGTGCAAGTTTTATGAAGGAATGTTAATTATTGGTGTTTTACTGTTGAGAAAAAAAACAACATGTCATTATTTTTTGTGTGTATTTTTTGTGAAATAGGAGTAGGATATAAGTGGAATAACATAATATTATTTTATTTATATTCAAAATGCCTGTGCAGGTGTTAGCTATTGTAAGTATTATAAATGAAGTTTTTTATTAAAAAATAAATTTCTGCTTGATAAAGATACTTTTGATTTTGGGAGGATAAAGAAAATGAAATTAGCCGCGTCACAACAAAACCAACATAGTGGGTTTGCGACCAGCATGGATCCAGACCAGCCTGCACATTCGCGCAGTCTGATCAGGATCCATGCTGTTCGCTATCAGTTTCTCTACTTGTAATAGGGTTGGAAAGCGAGCAGCATGGATCCTGATCAGACTGCGCGGATGCGCAGGCTGGTCTGGATCCATGCTGGTCGCAAACGCATTATGTTGGTTTTGTCATGACGCGGCTCAAATGCTTTTTTTGCGCATGCAATATACATGTACACACAGACTTGTTGCTTTTTAGCTAGATTTGAAACAGAAGCAGTTATGGCCATGTGTATAATGAAATCCAATATACTATATAGCTTCTGCTTGTGTTATAAAATACATGATTTATTTTCTGTTCTTTCTGGGATATCATGTATCTTTGTTAAAATTAATATATCATTAGCTGGCAGAGTCTTGATAGCACCTGTTTCAATTATAGTATTAGACCAATTATCTGTCACAAATGAGTATTCCTCTACTTATTTTTCTATAACTGAAGTCTTATGCCTAATAAAGAAGCTACTTAAAGTTTAAGACACAGTTTATTTTTCAGATAATAAAATTAAATTGTTAAAATGGTAAAGAGTCTGACTCCATAAGGACATAAAAACTATGACACAGAAATTTAAAGTTTAATAATGAACTCTTTACAGGCAATAAGGCCAATGTTCTTGATGTCAAATGACAGCTATTTTGATTTATTTTTTTTCAGCATTATTTAGCTGTAATACCTAGGCTTATTGTGTAGCAGGGCTTTCATTATTTGATAGCTTGGTAAAACACCTTGATGCAATATCAGGCATGTTATGGGTCACCTGTTTACTTACAGTTATTTCTTCCACATTTCTCTATCTTGTACTTTTTTATTTGTCTGCTTTTATTTTAAGATATGACCCAGCTTCTTAGGAACATACAGACTATATCATAGCTGGTATTACCCTGTTGTACCCTTACTTCCCTAAATATCTTTAATGAACTTGCCCATCTTTCAATCTGGACAAAACAATTTCTTTTTTGGGAAATTTTCATTTGGTATGTTATGACTGAATAGCAAATAATGCCGACCATGATCAGACTGGATGGCCTTTCTGGTTAATCTTGGTTTGCACTTTTTACATAGGTATTCTGTTGAAGGGTTAATTAAAGAGACACTTTATTCAACCAGTTTAAATAAAGAAAGTGTTTAGTTGGTATACGATTTTGTTTTGTGGTAATCATTAAATATTCATAAAATCAATTAGAACAGAATAATGTGCAGTTTAAAAATCGTCTTGTGTCCATAAATAAAAATTTTGTAAAATCAATATTTCACAAAATTAGCCATTGAATAAGATAATTGGACTTTGTGGTGTATTATTAAATATAGTGACATGTGTTTGCTAGGGGCTGCATTAAATGATATAAATTTCAAGCTGTCAAATCCAAGAGTGAATGCCATTTTTACATGCGAAAACAATTGTTTCATCAAGGGACTAAATGTTAAAAGCACTTGAGAAAGATGATACATGGTTAAATACGAGTACAGGAGCATGATGATAGTGTTTTGTAGAATTGATTTTTGCTAGAACAGAGTTTTATAGCAGAATACATACAGGCTGCCATGAATGGAACCATTCTTGGCTATAGTTCATTGATTTTCCCCCTCTTCTATCAAGCTTACAACAGATGTGTGTGTGTAATTTAAAAAGAAATCAAGGGGCCTGTTGCCCATTTGTTAATGTGTGCCCTTAAGGGGATTTTCTTGACAAGGATGTAAGCGATGGTGAAAATATTCAATATATTGTATGGAATATATCTATGATAGGATATTGGTTTTTTTTCTTTGAGAAGATATAAGTATGGCTGAAAAGTAATTTTATGTTCATATTTAAAAGACAAAAGCATGTCAGATATTTTTCAAATGAAAAAGTTTGAGGTCTATGTGTGCAGAATTTTCACTAGAGAGGAATCAGTAATAGATATCATCACAGATGTAATTAGAGTTGCATGACATGTGATTATATATAATCATAACACTTCGGGATTTGTTTTAATCATTTTTAACTTTATCATGCCTGCAACAGAAAGGAAAATCTTACATCAGACATTTGGCTCTCAGAAATAATCAGACTCAGAGAGAGATTAAAATCCCAGGATGTATATGATGCGTGGCTTTTGTAATGGCTGATTCATAAAAGTAATTGGCAGTGATCACGACATTGAGCTCACGAGTGTATAAGGATGTTTTTGCACATGTGAGAAAAACGGTTGTACAGGATTGTATACGGTTGTACATGATATTTGTAAGGGAGTTAACATGACATTGCCGAAGTATGCAAATTTATGTACAAAGCATGTAAAATGCATTTTTGGCGATAGCATGCTGTATAGCCAATGTGTTTTAATGTATGTACATGTATTGACGGCTAGTGTCACGAACTTGATCAAATAATACAATATGCGAATGTAACTAATGTTTTAAAGTAATCTGATTAAAGTTGCACAAATACATGAAAATAAATGATAATTGGATACAAATAAAGGAAAGTTGGATTACTCATCTGACATGTTTTTGTTTTGTAACAATTCAGGAATTTACAGTTTACTAATTGGAGATTGAGATATTTAACTGCTGTGTTTAACATTTTTCATTCATAAACGCTTACAACAGCTGACTGGGGTCATGTTCTTGGAAGCAACAGTATATTTTATTTGAGAAAGTTTCATGCTTTGCCACATGCACGCACATGTGCTGAAACTTTGTTTTTTCCCTGGTTTGCTGGTAATCTGTAAGGCAAAGATATCAAGGGAGAAAAGGGGATTTATTTCAAGTGTATTTTTTGTGTTTCACATGGAAACGTAAAATAATTATGCCAAGTTTAAAATGAAAAAGTAGTCTATTTATGCTGAAGTTTGGAATTACAAATTTTGATTGTGGAAATCTTAAGTATAAGAATATACATAAATGATTAAGTCCAAATAATTCAGACAGTTTGTGAGTGTTAACTGAATATTAAAATCATAAGTGATCACAGAAGCATGCATACATGTGAATGAGTTGAAGTGACAGACTGTCCTTAAAAACAAAGAAAGAATAAAAAACTGTACATTTTGTACTTTGTAAGCAAGAAATTTATTGTAAACAAAGGTCAATTTTACGTTTGGAGGAGAGAGAAAAAAAACTTAATTGGCTCTTATGTTTTTGTCGGTTTGTTAAGAGTTGGATGAAGTAGTGTCGGTTTTATGTTTAATGAGTCAATTACAGTGTTCTATATTTAATATAAAATTTCCCAAATTGATTATGAATTAAGCTTTTGTGAAGCTACATTGTATTCATATGGGAATTTTGTCGAAAAGGAATTTTGCAACCGATATTTATGAATATTTTATAAGAAACTATATGTACATTACAATTGACAAACAGGATATGCACTTTAGCACGAAGGAGAATGGGTGGAAAATAAAATTCTTGCGATGATGATAATGTTTACTCAGTTACATTTGGGATAGTTCTGAAAGACTCTACTGTTTATTAAGTCTGGAGATAATTTGAAATTAACGATTTTACCATATTGTTGGTGCAGTAGTTTTGACAACACAGTTTTGTTGAAAACTTTCTTGAAACAAGGCTTTCAGTATGGCACATCTTGATAGGGAACCACCAGATAAAAATAAATCAGAGGTGAGTGGAATTGGATGTTTGTTAACCCGTAACTTGCTGAATTTCTTTGATGGACTTGTCCAGTTTTCTGTTTGGGAGAATCTACTATCAGTTTGAGGGATAAGGAAAGATTAAAATTTTAAATTACCCAAACAGAACATTCTGGTCAGATTTCACTGCAAGCTGTCCTCACTCTATACTGGTGGGGAAGTCTGATCATTTGGTTTCAGCACGTTGAAGGTTATACTTATATGTATATATCATTTTTTTTTTTTTCAGATCAAAGAAAATTTGGATTATGTATTGTCATATTTTTTGTGTCTGTGCATGCTAGGCTGTTTTAACTCATGTGACAAATCGTTCTACTTCTTACTGCCACTAAGAAACTGTTTAACATCCATCATCATATGTAGATACATGTATGTAAATAATAGGGAATCTGACAATCATGCTCATTTTAAGTACAGTGCTCCAAGTTTATATACAAGGGAGAAAACTCAGATAGGCATATGCTAAGTTAATGAGAAAATATTGGATTATCTCTGAACAAAGAAAGAGCATGGTACTTGTTTCTTTCTTTCTTATTCTTTAATAAAAGAATTAATTCGGAAACTTGACATAAAGTTACAATGGTAAAAACTAGATATATTTCTGTATATCTTAGTACAGTAAATTAACATTTTTTACTATCTTTTCAAATTTTTCAATATTTCTTTTTTTTTATGAACAACAAACCTTGTTATTAGATTATTTCCCTGTTGGGTTTAAGCTGTAATGAAAGAGAACTGATATAAAGTTGAGATATGCCAGAGAGTTAGTCTATTATATAATATGGAGATACTTTCATGTTACTGAGTTCTGTCTGCCCCACCTTGTTGTTCTGGCATCAAAACTCCAGGGAGGGTTTTAAAATCAGTAAGATAATATAATATCAGATAAACGTTTTAATCATATCCCACTTGTTTTTCAAAATCCTGGTTATTTACAAGTTTGAACTTAACGCACAGTCACAAACATTTCAGTCCAAATATTTGAAATTTTCACAGGTGGTAATTCATTCAGTATTGAAAATCAACAATAGATTATATGGTCATTAGGTGCATGTAAGACTGCCCTTCCAGCATATTTCGTGTCTTTGTATTACATACTGGCGTATTTTTCATATTGTATTTCAAGATGAACATGATTTCCATCATTGTATATCTGTCACACATTTGGTAGCTTTGTCTGTCCGTATTGTCAGGGCAAACTAGAATCTTACTGTCAAATGAAGGGGTCATAGGTCAATGGTTTTGTTTAAATGGGTACAAAATACAACATAATAGAGTCATTAGTTTGTTAATGGGGCGGAGTGAATGAGTAATAGGTGTTTTAATTACAAGGTGGATTTTGCTAATTAATGTGAAATAAGATAAATTAATTTCTTGGATTGCTGGGATATAAATGAATGTTTACACCTGTATTAATGTAATTGCTGAATATGAACATGTGAGAAACATTCGTGTTAATGTGAAATAAGAACAGTTTCAAACTTTTCTCAGACATCCGGATATGTTAGAGAGTGTTTTCTCTTAAGAACTATCCTTCATACATTTTAATGATCAGTGGAAAATTATCATGTTTCTGTGGCAAGTGCATATGTTGTTTGTGGGTAGCAATGTGTGTGTGTGATAATTTGTCCAAATTGATTCAATTACCAGGAGTGTTTCTGCTGCTGAAGTTTTGGATAAGATACTTTTGTTGTTGGGATAGGATAATATGAAAATATGAAAACAGGTTTTTAGCTCGACTATTCGTAGAATAATCGAGCTAATGCAGTCACCCATTTGTCGGCGTCGGCGTCGGCGTCGGCGTCCCTGTGGTTAAGTTTTTGTATGTAAGCTGGTATCTCCATAACTACTGAAGGGAATGGATTGAAACTTCACACACTTGTTCTCTTTGATTATCTAAGATGATTGGCACAAGTCCCATAACTCTGATTTGCTTTTTTACATAATAATGCCCCTTTTTCAACTTAGAAATTCTTGGTTAAGTTTTTGTATGTAAGCTGGTGTCTCCATAACTACTGAAGGGAATGGATTGAAACTTCACACACTTGTTCTCTGTGATTATCTAAGATGATTGGCACAAGTCCCATAACTCTGATTTGCTTTTTTACATAATTATGCCCCTTTTTCGACTTAGAAATTCTTGGTTAAGTTTTTGTATGTAAGCTGGTATCTCCATAACTACTGAAGGGAATGGATTGAAACTTCACACACTTGTTCTCTTTGATTATCTAAGATGATTGGCACAAGTCCCATAACTCTGATTTGCTTTTTTACATAATAATAGCCCTTTTTTGACTTAGAAATTCTTGGTTAAGTTTTTGTATGTAAGCTGGTATCTCCATAACTACTGAAGGGAATGGATTGAAACTTCACACACTTGTTCTCTGTGATTATCTTAGATGATTGGCACAAGTCCAATAACTCTAATTTGCTTTTTTACATAATTATGCCCCTTTTTCGACGCAGAAATTCTTGGTTAAGTTTTTGTGTGTAAGCTGCTATCTCCATAACTACTGAAGGGAATGGATTGAAACTTCACACACTTGTTCTCTCTGATTATCTTAGATGATTGGCACAAGTCCCATAACTCTTATTTGCTTTTTTACATAATTATGCCCCTTGTTCGACTTCGAAATTCTTGGTTAAGTTTTTGCGTGTAAGCTGGTATCTCCATAACTACTGAAGGGAATGGATTGAAACTTCACACACTTGGTCTCTGTGATTATCTAAGATGATTGGCACAAGTCCCATAACTCTGATTTGCTTTTTTGCATAATTATGCCCCTTTTTTATCTTAGAAATTCTTGGTTAAGTTTTTGCGTGTAAGCTGGTATCTCCATAACTACTGAAGGGAATGGATTGAAACTTCACACACTTGGTCTCTGTGATTATTTAAGATGATTGGCACAAGTCCCATAACTCTGATTTACTTTTTCGCATAATTATTCCCCTTTTTCGATTCATAAATTTGTGGTTAAGTTTTTGTGTGTAAGCTGGTATCTCCATAACTACTGAAGGGAATGGATTGAAACTTCACACACTTGTTCTCTGTGATTGTATTGAAACTTGAAGGGTTTGTACCTTTTCGTACAATTTTATGTATTCATATAGGTAAGCATATTTATACTCAATGAAACACCCGTGTGACAAATTTTAGAATAGTCGAGCGTTACTGTCCTCCGACAGTTCTTGTTCTGGGATTTTTTTCTTAATTTGATTTTGAAAAATGTATCTGCTATGTCTGCAACGTTGAAGTAGTTCATTTTTAAAAGAAAGAAGAAAAAAAATGTTAAAAAAACCAAAACCATTTGGGTATTTTAAACTACCTTATTTTAATGTTTAGTTTATACAGAATCTGTTTTAGTTCAATTGTATAGGAAGCTGTTGGCTTATAGACACACAACTTTGGAACCAACTTGTTTTAAGCAATGAGTGCTGGCCACTAAAGGGGTTTGAAGCCACATCTAGTCAGCAACCCTATTCTGATGTGCTACACTTCAGTGTTACGAATGGATCATTAATAACCATTTATTAAGTTAAGTCCAAGTACATTTGTTTCATGGGAACATGCCTGATTTAATTATTTTGGTATTTTTTAAAAGAAACATATTTTGGCATTTATTTCGCACCATTTTCACTTTACTAATCTTTTTGAAATTTGAATGACCCTTGTATTGACTTTTCTTAGGTTGGTACCTTTGGTCAAATTTACCTATTACATTGGTCTCATGTAGCTGATTTGATAAAAATTACTGATTGCACTATCAACAACACCTTTCTGATGAAACTGAAAGAACAATTTTGCACATTGGTGAAGATGAAAAAGATTTTAATATTTAAACTTCAATCAAAGAGATTTTATCTCAAAGTTTTAAGATTATCATAATAAATTGAAAATATTTACACTGATAACACTTGATTATTCCAGTACCGAAAACATGTGTAAGGTAGAAATTGAAATTTGATGAAAAACAGTAATTATAACAGCAGCTGGTTACTGCAATAAATCAAGCACAGCCCGAGCATGGTTACACTGCTGCTGCTGAGTTAATCAAGCGGGGCCAGGCTCTCTTATTGATTGCCCTATTTGAGAAGGAAAATATGTAATGCTGGGATATTTGTGAACACAAAGACACCATGTGTGAATGTTTATGAAAAATGAAATTTGTGATGTTATATGTGCATTATTGATCACGATGATATAAATATTAATGAGGATTGTAAAATTCGAAAGCGTGGTAACGAAATTACACGTGATATAATATTCGGATGAAATGGATCGTAAAGTTTAACCATGGCAGATTATAATCATACATATAGAATATCTTTTCAAGAAGTTTGACGCGTTGGATATTTAAAGATATTTGTACCAAATAATTTCAGAAATTTGAGTACTCGCAAATTGTGAACCTTGTTGTTATTTTCTTTATTTTATATTGAGAAGTTAATGTTAATGACAATAATAACTCATTACATATAGATAATTCCAGTACAGGTAGCTTATTGATTATTGTAAGTTGATTGATTGAAGATACTAATTGATGTATAAGTAGATTTATTCCCTCAGTAAGTACTAAAGTAAATTAGTCTGGTAGTCTAATTGAATTGTTACTTGACTGGTTGACACTGGCTGATGTTGATATCTTTCTCTGGTAGAATATAGTTTTCCTTAGAATTGTTTTCTTGTTATACAGTACTTTATATACTATTGCTGCTATAGTGTTATTATTTTGTAAGCTTTCAAACTCAGCATGCTAACTGCATTGTTAACTTGCATTTGCAGTTTAGTTTAAAGTCAGGCCAGTGAACATCTTGAAGCATTCTGACCCCGAGACACTTTACTTTTGGCTCGGCTGAACATTGGAATACTGAAATATAACAGTGAAATAGTTCATAAAACTTAAAGGCAGGAGATGTACTCTAAGTTATATTTAGCAGTATATCACTGTAATTAAATATGATCATGTTTTC